AGATCATGGAGGAGATAAATCTAGTGAAAAATCGACATCAGGTGTAATCTGTATGTTTGGAGGAAGCGTGATCAGTTAGTTTAGCCACCGTCAACCCTCAGTTGCGAATTCAACTACCGAAGCAGAAATCGTTGCCGCAAGTGGAGCAGCTCGTGAAGTAGTATGGCTCAAACGATTGTTGAACGACATTGTAGATTTGAAGTAAAAGCCACAAATTTTTGTCGACAATGAAGCAGCGATTCGTTTAGCATATAATCCAGAACTTCACGGAAAAACAAAGCATATCCACATTAGACATTTCTTTGTCAGAGGAAAGGTTGCAAAAGAAGAAGTTTCAGTTGAACGAGTTGCGACAGAACTTCAAGTTGTTGATGCTCTGGCTAAACCAATGGTAGGACCAAGACTTAAGAATCTGATGTGTGTGATGGGTCTTCAGAACGTTCATGCTAAGGTCATCTAATGTTTTAAATAAAATGAGAAAGTGTTAAGTTTTATGTTTTATTTTAAAACATTATGATTTATGATATACATTTATTTTCTTTTGACCAAATGTTTTTTGCTTTGTAGGTAACTTTACTTTTTTTTCTGTTGTTTCGGTTGATAATAAACAAGTTAAAAAGTTTATTTCTCTTCTTTTAAAATTTTTCAATATTAATATCAATTTATTAAAACGATCTACGTGACAAGAAATTTAACAACTGCTGATGCTAATTGAATCAAATTGTAGTTTGTATATTTGCTGCCACAGGTTTTACTGTGATTTAATTTAAGCTTATGCTCACCATCCAAGAGTCAATTCGTGACATACATTGAAGAAATTTGTTGACAAAAAGTTGAGAAGAAGCCACGTCACAGCTTGCAACAATCTGGATATGTTCTTCCAATTCAAGTTTTTTAAAATGACTACGTTGATCTCTACTGAGGTCATCACTGATTCACACTCTTCTCAAACTCTCATCAAGCAACTTAAGTCTGAAAAGCTTTCACATTATCATAGCTTTTGCAAACCAACTTTTGACTTGCACCACCGCCGGCCGTGAAGCAGAAGGTGTGTTTGGTATTTTGCTCTGTCGATCTATATTGTAAATGTCATTTTCTTTTAGACTGTTGTCAGAAACAGACTTTAAAAATCCTATCGCATTTGTTCTATTTTTACTCAGTAAAAATAAGCAAAACGATACACTTTTTTTTCTATAATTTCGTTAGCATCTTCAATAGTTTTTGAAACAGACATCACCACTCTATCAAAAACGTCAAATTTTTTTTAACTGTATCAGTCTACGCTGAGTTTATTTAATTTTTGAACAATACTAATGACTGTTCATGTTTATCATCCAGCGTCAACATCTGTCCGCAATCCCCACACGTCATTAACAACGGGTTCGAGACCACTAAGACAGATATCCAGAGCATTGAATTCATCACCCAGAAACCTATAAAAACCTTTAAAACCATAAGTAAATCTCTGGCAACCCTCACAGAACCACCTAAGGTTTTTGCATGTTTTAATAACTTTGTGCATATCCCCACAAGATGACCCAGCGTCAGGTTGATATACAATTCTACAGAAGCAGCGCAATATTTCTTTACCACCAGCAGCAGCCGACTCCCGATTGACATTAAGATTAGGCTGATTTCCTCTTTTAGGATTTGTTTTTTCATCTTTATCTCTAGTTATTTTCACTAATTTACTAATTCAGCCAATAAGTCCACCAAAAAGTTCGGAAAAGTGATTATTACATTGACCAACTTTTTAAAAAATTTAAAAACTGAGAATAATAAAATTAGTGATGTTTTTCTTAAAGCACGTAAAAAGTTGAATCTATTAAAAAACGGTTCCCATTTGAACATTCGCTATGTAGGTACTTTTCGTGCATCTTCTATTTTACTAACTATTTATCTTCTATTGTTACATAGTTTAGGTCACATTAGTTGACCCTTTCGATCTTCTTTTTTTCGAGTCGTCATTTTTTCAGCACAAAAAAACGGTTATTAACATATGAAATACTTCACTGATAAAACCTTTTTTAAACGATTAATTAAATCCGAAATTCGCTATAATTGATAAAAAAAATAAATTACCGTCTAGCTCTAAAAAAACCAAAGATTATTATAATTATTAATTTATTTAAATTAAACAAAAAAATTTTGAAACACAAAACCTACCAACCTTCATATTTACAAAACAGTTCAAAATTTTGACCTTCACGAATCACTTGACTTGAGGAACATTGAAGAAATCTCAAAGATACTATTTTTTCCGGAACAAAAGGCAAAAGATTGATGTGAAAAGTATATGACATGATGCAATCATTGCATTTTACGTTCAATGCATATTGACCTAAAAAATAAAAAAAATATTGTTCTAACTAATCCGATAAAATTTTTGAAAATTTTTAAATATTTTTGTGCTGAATTCTCCTATTAAAGTTATTTTGATGTTTCATAATTTTGAGATACTTTCAACATTTGCTATTGGGACGCAACTTATCATTCAATTTTTTCCTTTCTCAAAATGTTACATTTTCTGAGGTTTTTCGTTATGTTTTTTTTATCAAATTGTTTCACGAGTTTAAATTGAGTAGAAAAATGTTTATACTAAAGTTATATTATAACAAAATATTTTCAACAATTTGATCACTTTAAATAATAATCAACATTTTGTTTTACAGCATCATCATGCAACCATTCCAACGTAATTTATGTACTGTAGGATATATGATATATGTAGGATCGGGAGAGTTACTATAAGATTTATATTTTGATGTCGAGATACTAATAAAAACGATGCATTATAGAAATTAAGTAATTTTTGAATCTTCAATTCGAAGAATTATATATAGTGATTTATACTTTAACGCTCGTCACCACCGACACCAGTGTTATAACATTAAAGATATCTTATTTCAAAAACCAGTGTTGTAGTTTCAAGATTTACAATAGATGAACACAACTGCTTGAAACGTAAACTTAGTGGAACGTTTATTCATATGCAAACAATAAAAGAAACACTTAACTAATCCTAAAAAACGCATAAATCACCATCACAACTACACTTCAAACAGCTAGTAACCTCACTATTTGCAACCCTTTATATAGTCTCTACAATAGATTTTGTATAATACTCTATAGTATGAAAAAATTCTATGGTTCATAATTGATGACAAATGGCAAAGACAACAGATATAGCAAAATGACAATAACATTACTCCCACTTTACCCTGTTAGTCTCTATTTTTCTATTTCTTTATTCAGATGAGCTAACTTATTCAAATGGACAACATTCTTCTTTGTCCGTGTCTCCAACAATCATAGGTACTGCAGGTCACGACATTTATCCGGTTAGTGACCATGTAACGATCTTTCCAATTTTTGGGAGTTTTGCCGGGTATCTTCTTTTTCTATGCCGTAGGTTGACAACAGACAGTAATAGAAACCCGTTAATCACATCATTTTTCTTTTTAATGACCAAGTCCCGATCTTTCCAATTTCTTGGGAGTTTTGCCGAGAATCGCCTTTTTCCGCACTGTAGGTTGTACAACCACGTCAGGTCATTGCTTTCGAAACTTGCGCTATTTATTCAAGGTCGTACCAGGTATAAGTAGTAGTCCCCCTGTATATCGAAAGTTTAAATGTCTTTGTCCCTGTCAACTTTTAGACTATTCTCAAAATCTTCATCGTCGTCTCTGTCCTCATCTTCATCATTACGGTAGTAATGAAAGCAGAGTAGGCGAGTTGCTGATAACAGGATCCGAGAAATAATCTCATTAAATGTCAAAAGTTTTAATTTCTTTGTCGGTGCCAACTTCTCAATTATTTTCAAAGCTTTCGTTTTCGTCTTCTTCATCATTACTATAACAACTTTTCTTCACTGTAGCACTTGCGTCACAGTTAACACGTGCATCGAAGTTGTCACGTGCATCGCTGTTGTTACGTGCATGGCAGTTGTCACGTGCATCACAATCAAAATCATCCGTTAGAAGGATAGACTTGTGATCGCTAATGTAATTGTAGGTAGATAAATAGCCTGGTGAGATGATGTCAGGATCTTGTGTAACTGTTTGTGTTGTTTTTGTTTGTCACTTGGACGCGTTTGTTTTCATTATTTAGTCGCTTGATTTGTCCGCTTAATACTGCTTTGAAGTCGTATTTTGTCGTTCTTTTTTTAGTTGATTTGTCGAATCTGTCATTTAGATCCGTTTTAAATTTTTTTAATTGCTGGTCAATCTTATCGTTTAGTTCTTCAGCTTGTTGATCAAATTTTCTATTAAAATCGGCTTTTAATTCGGCCACCATAGGATTTGGAAAGTCAAACTCATCCGGATCGTGATCTTCGGTTATCAGAGCGTCTCTTAGGCGGTCTATCAAAACCGCCTTCCCTTTATCGAGTCGAGGTTTTGATTTCGCAGTTCCTTTTTCAGATTAGTTGTATCAAGTTTTTCAACTGCCGGCATTTTTTATTGCAGAAAATTTCAATCTATCAAAAATTTCATTTCTGACCCCAGTGTTATAAACTTCAACGATCGTCTCTACTAACACCAAATCCCTTATTTCCGTCACAAGTTTTGTAGCTTGCACTATCGTAAAATTATCGTTATTTCTTAGGTTCAAGATTTTTGATAGATAAACACAACTGCTTCAAACGCAAACTTTTTTAAACGTTTATTTGAATGCCAACAGTAAAAGCACTAAATCATTCCTTAATCTGTGCATCTACATAAATCTTCACGACAACCTCGTTACTAACTTCGCTAGTCACCTCGCTTATATACACGAGAATTAACAATCTAAAAATCATAAATGTAGCAAAGGTAACAAATAATAAAAATAGTAACAACTAATTGAAATCAATCATATACCGCAATTCGATCATTTCAGCGGTTATAACAATATAAAGAAAAAATCAATCGAAATAAGAAATCTTAACCAGCGTCAGTTAACTGCGCTTCTGAGATTTCAAGTACGTTAAAACCGGTTTTTTTGTCACAGACAATTTTTACAGCTGATGGTATCTCAACAAGTTGTTCATCATTTTTCATCCAGGAAATCAAACAACTGGACATAGCTGCCACTTTTGATATCACTTTAATCTTGTAATGTTATTATTAATATAAGCTATACTTAAATTTTATTTAATTATTAAACTTTAATTTAATTATTAATATAAACTTAAATTTAATTTAACAAAAATTTTCCAAATCGTAAGTAAAAAATATTGAAACAGTATAAAATAAAAATAAACAAAACATAACAAAATTATGTCAAAAAAGAAAACTACAAAAAATTGTCAAACTTTATCACCGCTTAAATTTCAAATACTGAATCATCGAACAGAATTTGTTTTAACCGTTTCTCCATGTTGCACGGTAATATCGTTTGGTCTAATTTCTACGATAGGCAACAACTCTTCATCATTATTATTAGTGTTTCTCGTTTCGCTTTTCTGATTTCTATTTGACCAGCAAATTACTTTCATTTTTGCAACATCAAACCCAGCCTGATGTTAAATAAAAATTTTTGGCTCTTTTCAAACATAACTACATTTTTAAAACAGTATTATATATAAAAAAACTTGAAATGAAATAAATACTGAAAAATAACTCACTTCGTTTTCCGCTTTGACAGCATAATTTCCAGCATCATCAATAAGAGTGTTCGTTATTTGCAATGAATAAATGTTGTACAACTCATCAACATATGCACTAATTCGATCATCTTTTTCTATTTTGATGGCTTTTCTGTTTTTATACCATTTAATCTTGGGCTTGGACGATCCTTTCATAAGTTATTTAAATAAACAGTTGAAACCATAAAAATGATATAATGAATAAAACATCGTGATCAATAAAAATCATAGAGGAATCAAGTTAAAAAACACACCATTATTGAAAAACGTTGGAAAAATTTGAAAAAGTAAACTTACGTGAAAACAGCTTATAAATAATTGTAATTTATTGTAATAAACACAAACTTAATATAAAAAACACACTTAAAATGAAATGTTGAATCACCAAAAGCTTAAAATAATTATAAAATAGTATGCAGTGTGTGTAATGCTGTTAGCAAGAAGCGGTGTAGGTGTTAATCGTTTTGTATTTATCGTTTGTCAATGTACGAGAATGAAAACAGAACAAAAACTTGAAAATGGAAAAAAGTCTGTTGGTAGCAAAAAACTATTTTGTATATAAAGTATTAAATGTAATTCAACAAAAATGTTTTCCATGATCGGGAACGGGAATTTTAGTACTCGAGAATGTGAAAAAATTAAACATCTATTGGTAGGTATCTGGAAATTTCCAATGATGTTGAGTTTAACCTATTTTCTCCTAAATTTACACTTAAAACAAACATTTATATATTCAAACATACAAACATAAATGTAGCAATAGCTATTGCACTGCGGTATCTATAGCGGTGCTCCTTTTGCAGATGACACTAAACACTTATGTTCTATTGTTCACAACGATGAAGACATTGTAATTTTGGTAAGCCATTTGCGTAAACTATACAAATGGGCGTAGCGTAGATGGTGTTCAAAATCGATAATTGCAAAGTCCTATATATAGGAGCAAACAATAAACTTGAAAACACGCTACTAAAAATGTAAAAGAAAAGAGGATCTAAAGGTGATAATACATCGGAGTGACAAGGAAGCCCATCAAAGCACTGTGACAGCTAAAAGTGCAAACAAAGCTCTGGGTATGAAAAAAGAACAGAAAAAAGGTATGATTATCATATTAAACATGGATAAGACACTGGTCCTACCTAAGTTGGAGTACTGGGTTTTCCATTTGAAAATCCAAATTTACAAAAGGATAGATCAAGGAGTGTCACAAAATTTCATATAAAGACAAATTAAAAGTTTATAACTCAACACGTGTCCGTGTGCGACAACAAAAAAGATAACCATGTGCTAGTAATAGAGCCATAAAAAAAATTACAATTTCAAACCACACACACACACACAAACACACACACACACACACACACACATAAAAAAAACTGACCAACCTGATAACCAAAAAAAATAACAATATTATAAAAGATCAATTCATCAATCTTAGCCACCGCATCCTTACAGACAAACAAAAAGTATTCTTAAACCTGGAATTGAATTGCCATTATCTGAAACACATGTCAACTGCATACAAGGTAGATGAAGCTATTCTTAAACATATCATCAATAAAAATGTCACACCAACCAACCCAAATAGCAAAGTTAAACTCCGAATTTATTACAACAATAAAAAGACGTCTCACCTAATACTGAAAAACAACTGCAGTCCTAGAGATAACTCTGAGTTAAAGCGTAATCACGTAATATATGAATTTAATTGCCCCCTTTGACGGCTGTGCACGTCAACATGACTCATATATCGGGATTACTACTACCTCACTGACTAGAAGGCTTACGATGCATAAGCAGAGTGGTGCTATCAAATCTCATTTGGACTCAACACACTCAATCACAATTAGCCGTGACACACTCGACAGCAACACCAAAGTAATATACCAGAACAGCAACTACACGCATCTTAAAATTGTAGAAGCAGTCCTAATTGACATCAATAAACCAAAAATAAATATACAACAAAAAATGACAACCTCACTTCCAACCCGGCGCTTAACCAACAACGAAAACAAAGAAAAAATAAAAACTAGCATTGTAAATAGTGACAAAGAAGAATATGATGCTTTCGATGAAGAAAAGGAGACCAAAGAAGATGACCAGCCAATAAAGAAACCTGACACCTAATTTCCATCTAAGTTCACTTTGACAAAGTCAATCTACATCTAAATTCATTTTGACAAAGTCAATATTTCCGTATATAAACAGCAGAAAGCACTGATGATGATTCATTAGGAATCGAAATATGGCCTTATTTGCAGCATGAATTCGAAAAATAATTTTATTTTGAATTTTAATAAACTAAACGTTCACCAAAAAACTTTAGTGAAAAAAATCGAAAAAACGAACTACAAACATATTAACGCCAATCATATATATATATATATATATATATATATATATATAAGGTTTTATGTTATATATATAACTATATATATAAGATATATATATATAACTATATATATAAGATATATATAACTTATATACGTTTATATATATATATACACATGTACACATGTGATCGAGACATACACATTGACATACGTAAACAAGTGTTTGATAGAATGCCGGCACTAGATGAACTCAATACAACTTATCTAAAAAAGAAACTACGACAACCACAACTCGACTCGAAAGGAGCAAAGGCAGTTTTGATCAACCGCCTAAGAGATGTTCTAATATAAAAAAACAATCCTGATGAGTTTGGTCTTCCGAGACTTATGAAAGAACTGATATTACAGAGCATCTAAATTATTGGAAAATGGGATCAACAGTTGGATAAATTTTGAACAGCCAATGGAATTAGAGAGCCCATCAAAGAGATAATCAAACCAGCTATACCAGCAACGGCTATAAAAGAGCCTGAAATTATCCTGCCGGTTTATTCATCTACGGATGATTTCGACTGTGACGCACGTGATGTCTGCAATGTACGTGTTAACTGTGACGCACCTAATATCTGCGACGTGCGTGATGTCAACATCAAATATCACAATATGCACCTGATCTCTTTGTTTGGTCATTCAACTTTTTGTAAAATCAATAGAAAGATATCACTTGCTTCACGACGTCTCTCATTGGTTAGAAGGACCAAAACAACGGAAACGTAGCGTGAACCAAAAAGAAATAACTCAGATTTCAAGAGCAAAACCTAGTTTGGTTGCACAACCTACAGCGCAGAAAAAGGCAATGCCCGGCAAAACTCCCAAGAAATTGGAAAGATCTGTACAAAAGGTACCCGGCAAAACTTACAGGGATTTAAAAAGGTCGGTACAAAATCACTAACAAGGTAAATGACGTGATCTAAAGAACTTATGATCATGGAAAAAAATGGACAAAAATGAAATTTATGTATATATATATATATATATATATATATATATATATATATATATATATATATATTAGGGTGTCCCAGAAATGCACGGAAATTTTTTTTGTTAATTAGTTAATGTCTCACCCTCTGAAAAGTGTCTCTTGGGTACAATAATTAAATTGGTGAAGTTACAGCTCATTTGAACAAGTTTGAGAGGTCCCCCAAAGGCTTTTAAAATTTTACTATCGAGTTAATTCAAAATCCATATCAAAAATCTTAAACAATATGCACAAAATGAGTGAAATAAAGCTAGAAATGCAAACTAGTTTAATTATCTCACTGCAGACATTAATTATAGTTTAAAATATTATTAACAATTACCTGTAGAATGATAATCTTTATTAGAGAATGCAAAAAATGTATATTTTTAACCAGTCAACTCGCAATGTTACTGGTGTTGTCAACGTAGATTGGTTACCTGTCCTGCTCTCATCACTTGTTGATGGCAGTACAAAACTTCTTGGAGTTCCAAGGTTAGCATCTGGATTAGGACGAGCAGCTGCTGATGCAGTTCATGAACATATAAAATCTTGAAAATGTGAATCAATGGTTATTGGCATGTGCTTTGACACGACAGCTTCCAATACTGGAAAACTCAATGAAGCTTGCACTCTTCTAGAAAAAGCCATTGGACGTAATTTAGTATGGATGGCTTGCCGTCATCATAAGTTTGAAGTGCTGCTGCCGGTGTATATAGTGTTTGTCTTGGAACATCCACTGGACCAGAAATTTTATTCTTCAAAAAGTTTCGTGAAAAATGGACAGAAATGAATCACACACCGGAAGCCAGATCAACCCCTTTGATAATTGTTTCAGATGCAATTAAAGCATTCATCAAATGTCAACTTGAGGTCAGACATTCTCGAGATGACTATTTAGAGTTTCTACTTCTTGCTGCACAAATAGCTGAACTGCAAGTTTATGTAGCCATTCGCAAACCTGGTGCACGGCACAGGGCACGATGGATGGCAAAAGCCATCTACGCATTAAAAATTGAACTATTATTCACCGTAAATAAAACCATTTTTAACTTAAATAGCTCGAGAATTACAAGGTATTC